CAGTGGTTAGCCTCTGGTGCACGCCTGGGTTCTCCCCAGAGCCCAGCTCTGTAGGCTCAGATTTCTCCGGAGGGTTCAGTCAACGTGGTAGAGGCAAGCTGAGCCCAAAGGGGAATGAGAACTTTGAACCTGTCTTTCCAGAAATCTCCCCAGGACACCCCCTGAGACTGCCCCAGGTGAGGCTCTCCCCGGGCGCTGGTTTAGCTGAAGCTGCTGGAAGGCAGGGTGCCTGCCGAGTGGCAGGTGGATGAGCAGGAGGCTGTGGCTGTGGCATCCGCACGTGGAAGGAGCCAAGGGATCTTATTTCTCACAGGGGAAGGTTGGGCCTCCAGGGAGGTCAGGCAGGGGTCTGCTGTGCGAGTTGGCCCTGGAGGAATGTCGGGCCCTGGAGGAGCGGAGACCAGGGCTTTCTGAGGAGCTGGCTCCTCCCTCTGCCTCCTCAAGTCTCAGTGCGGGGCTCCAGCACTTCTGAAGCAGGGTCAGGAGGGTGGCTGTGCCCCGGCGAAGGCAGTGGGACGTCCTGGGTGTGCAGAAGCAGGTGACGGGGGCTATGCGGGATGTGTGACGTGCTGAGGGGCACCCTGTCCTCCCCACCGGTCCTCTTTTTCTCCCTGTATTTCTGCCCCCCTTGCCACCAACTTGCGCTTGTACCAGAGGCCAAATCTAGGGTCGTTTCTCCTAAACAGTCATCCAGTGGTGAAACAGTCGGGAGGAGCAGACTTTCCCTGGATGTGGAGCTGGCTAGCAGGCAGCAGGCCCTGGCTGAGGCCTGCCATCGCCAGGCACGAGGCCCCTGGAAGGAAACAGCCACCGTGCCCTGCGGCCTGGGGCTGGCTCTCTGAAGCTTTCCTGCATGACTTTGTGGAAGCAAGGGGAGTCCAGGGCTAGGACACTTGGGGAAGTGGCTGAAATATTTCGTTTAGGAAATGCAGGCAAGTGGACACCCAGTGTGCTGCCTTGGTCCACGTCCCGGCCCCAAAGACCATCCGTCTCCCTGTGCCTCTGTTTCTTGTTCCTAAGACAGAAAATAACTCTGCCCACCTAACGGTGCTGTGGGAGAGCGGTAAGCGAAGGCCCTGAAGGAGGCCCTAGCGCAGGGGGCGTGTCTGCGCTGCTGGCACGGGAGTGGGGCAGTTACCAAGCAGCGAGCACGCGGTGTGGTGCTGCAGCCAGCCCGTCCTCCCCATCTGCTGGTGCAGCGCTTTCCTGGCCAGAGCTCTAGAGGGCAAGACTGCCCTGAGCTTCGGTGTGGACCTCTGAGAACCAGGTCTGCTCCCTGCCTTGCAGAACTGGGCGAGGATCAAATGCAGTAAATCCCAAATCCCATGGCGTTGGTCAGGCCTGGCACGCAGTAGATGCCCACAACCTTTTCTTTAGTTCAAGGGTAGTGGTCTATCTAGATGTCACCTCTAACTGTGAAAAGCCTTAGGAGACGAGGGGGGGAAAGTGTTCCTCCTCCTGTGTCCATCTTGCCCTCACTTTCCTGAGGAGCAGGCAGGGAGCCTAAGAAGTTCTCAAGGCCCAGATGAGAACTTAGATGGAACAAGAAGACTGGGGTCATCTGGGGATGGGCGGTGTGAGTGGCGGGGTGCAGCTGAGCCTGGCTGGGGTGAGCAGCATGTGGCAGGTGCCCCCACACCCACGGCCCAGGAGCGCCAGCAGCCCTCGCTCAGCTCCTCGTCCTCCTGGGCCCCCTTGTATGGCCCGTAGGGCTGGCAGCACCTGACAGGTGGCTGAGGGGCTCTGAGGTGAATCAACAGCTGCGGGCCACACCCTCCCCACCTGGTGTCTGGGCCAACAGCCTGTGGCATAGCTGTGTATTTCCACAGCCACCTCCCGTGGGCCTCAGGGAAGGGCAGCCGTGTGTATCTGTGTGTGCCTGTGTGTGTCCATCCATGTGTCCATGTATGTGTGTCTGGTGTGTGCATGTGTCTATGTGTGTGTGTCTGTGCATGTGTGTCCATGTGTGTGTCCTTGTGTGTGCCTGAGTGTGTGTCCGTGTATGTGCATGTGCGTGTGTCCGTTGTGTGTCCATTGTGTGTCTGTGTGTGTGCATCTGTGTGTGTCTGTGCGTGCGTGTGTTTCTCTGTCTCATGCGTAGAGGTGGAAGGCTGAGGTCCTGCCAGCCTCACCTTGGTGCCCCATCATGCCCCAAAGGCCTAGCGCCAGGCACAGGATCAGCCCTGCACCACCTTCCCTGAGGCTGGGGTGTGGAACATGTCTGGGAAAGAGCTAAAAGTGGCAGGAAACATCCTGTTTCAAAGCCCTGACTTCCCGTATTTAACCCCTGCAGCACCTGCTCCACCTACACTGACCTCTACAGGCCGGAGATCCCAGGCTGGAGGCCAGAGCCCTCAGCAGCCCTGCGTCTGCTCTCTGCTCTCCTCAGCATGTCCTGCCGCCCCATAGCTCTTCCTAGAGCACCCCCAAAGTACGGGAGCAGAGCCGCGGTGGGGGGGGGGTGCAGGTCCCTGGCTATGCGGGCAGAGGTGTGTCTGTGGAAGGGAGTCCTGCTGCGTGCACGGAGCCCGTCCACTCCCTGCTTCAGAATGGCTGTGCCAGCTTCTGCTGTTCTTCTTGGCCAGTCACTTCCTTCCAGTGTTCAGGCCTGCGTCTGGAGACTGAGGTCCCTGGAAAGGGCTTTTTGCACTGCTTAGGACATGCAGTGCTTTAAATAGCACGTCCCCTTGTCCCCTCGCTTGTCTCAGAGCCCTCCTGGCTGGTTGTGTCCTCAGCCACATGGAGGAGCACTTCTGGCCACCTTGGGCCTGGCCCCCCACCTGAGGCAGGTGCATCTGCACCAGCCACAAGCTCCCTGGTTTGTTTTGAGGGGAAGGGACCGGTCATAGGACAGTGGTAGGTAGTGGGGAGAAGGGAACGCTGCCTGGGCCTATGCATAGGCGAGTCTCCTGTCAGAGATCTGCAGCTGGAGCCTGGGCCTGGGGGCATGGGGTAGGAGTCAGGGCCTCAAGCAGGAGGCACTTGCCAGGTTCAGGAAAGGACCCCTGAAGCCTGGCCTGAGTGTCTGACACCTCCTGCCCAGCTCCCGTTTCCTCTTTCTCCTGCCTCTGTGATCTCCTCCTGTCTTGTGGGACATTCGGTGCTTGGGCTACCGAGCCCTGGGCCTCTTCTCCATGTGGGACCCAGCTCTGGGAGTTCACGTCCAGTGTCAGCAAGTGATCCCAAGCGGGGTGGGTCTCCACTCAGCTCCCTGCAGGGAGCCCGTGCTGGGGCCTCTGGCCGCTGTCTGCCTTTCTGTGCGGCCCGGTGCCTGGGCCCTTGGCCCCAGCTGGGAGGCTTCCTGGCATCAAGGCGGAGCCCCGCCTGCCCAGCTGCTGTTGCCATCGGATGGCCCGCATGGTTCTAATTCTTTCGCCTTGGGCGCTCCCCAGTGAGGCTGCTTGGGGCTTGGCCCGTTAGACCGACTGAGGACTGACTGACCCTCGTCCTCACCTCCCACTGTGTTCGCTGCTCTTCTCCGACCCTTGGGAAGTTGGGGAACTGCGTCCAAGCGGTGTGGCCATACCACCACAACTCAGAGCCCTGACAGATAAATAAGCCCACCCCCGGGGCTCAGCCACAGGCGCTTGCCCCATGGAGAGGTCGGGCTAGGGCGCTACCCCACATCTTGGGGGCCTTCTGTGTCCCAGTCACTTGGAGGGGTGAGTTTAGACGTGGGCTCCTCTCTAAGCATGGTGTTGACAGATGCAGAACACTTTCTCATTTATTTTTAATTCATTTTAAATTAAAAATCTCATGTATGTACAGAAGGACACATGAAACATAGATGTATTTTAATGTCATATACCTACCACACAAAGAAATAGAATGCGTCTTTGCCTGTCTGCCCTGGTCCCTTCCCTTGGCGCCAGGGCCTTTGCCACCATTGTTTCACATTAAGTGTTTGTGCATTTGGCAGTAGTAGTCGCCAGAGATGCCCCAAGCCTGGGTGCTCTGGTCTCACTGCAGAGGGCTGAGCGACAGCACACTGAGCTTTGGCATTGTGAAGCTTGCCCCCAGATCACGGGCTGCCTGGGACCTCCCACGGGTGCCCACAGCCTGCTTCTCTCCTACAGGTGGGAAGAAATGGTGTGCTGGGGTAAGAGTAAGGGCACGAACTGTCCCCTTTGTCCTGCCTTCTCTCTCATTTCTCCTGAGTTGAGTGACCTTCCGCCTTGGGTCAGAAGGGCCACTGAAATCCATAAGGACTCTTGTAAGGGTTACGATGCCGTGGAGCCCTGGGAGCAGCAGGGCCGCAAAGCTCTTCAGGGAGGCCTGCGGTGTCCCCCAGTGGGCTCTGGGCCTGAGGCAGTGGTCAGATCAGAGGTGTCAGGGAAAGCCAGGGCCGCCTGGCCTAGTGGAAGTGTCCCAGAGCAGGTGTGCTTTGTCCCTTCCCTCCCTTCCCCTCGTGTGACATTCATCTCTAGATGGTAAGCCTGTTTATAAACACTGTCTTTGAAAGTAGAATTAGTTAATTGTACATGACTCATATGGCTCAAAAGGATGTTCAAGAAAAATGTCAAAGGTTATTGCAAAAAGTTACGGGAAGTACTTGGTACCAGGGTACCAAGGACGCCAGGGGAGTGAGTCAGTCCTGAGCTAGGTGGCTTCAAGGGGCAAGACCTGCAATGACAGCACCTGGGCGTGGGTGTCAGAAGATGCCCTGGCTTTCTCTTGGAGGGTGCAGCAGGCCAGCCAGAGACTTGTGCCCATGAAACCTGTCATGGAGATGGACAGGCAGCCACGGCATTAAGATCACCCTTCACCGCACACCCTTGAGGGAATGCCTCTTTGGGTGAGGATGGTGAGGGCACCAGCAGCCAGAAAGGCAGCATCTGAGCGCAGGCGCTCAGAACCAGCCTTGCACTGCGCTGGGTGGGGCAGGCCATGCCGTGCAGGGGCTGCAACGAGCTCTCCAGCACAGTGGTGGGTGGTGGTACGAGGGATGCCAGCTGGCTGTGGTACTGACTCAGGCCCTGGCCTATCTGATGTTCTTCCAGGGACGGAGGCCATGGCAGCCAGCACGTCCCTACCTGACCCTGGTGACTTTGACCGCAATGTGCCCCGGATCTGTGGGGTGTGTGGGGACCGAGCCACGGGCTTCCACTTCAATGCGATGACCTGCGAAGGCTGCAAAGGCTTCTTCAGGTAGGTCTCCTGCCAGCTCGCCCCAGAGGCAGAGGAGGGACCACAGCAAGGCTGTCCTGGAAAGCACACTTGTGCTTTTCACATCCCCTTCCTATGGTGTCCTCGGAACACATCAGCTCCCACAGGCTCTGGGTGCGGTGGGGTCTCCCTGAGGGCTTCTTCGTCCTGTCAGCCCAGCTGTGTCCTTGCCCCTCAGAAGCCACTGTCCAGAAGTGCTTGTGTTTCCTTCCATCGGCACTGATGCCAGCTCTCTGCACAGACCTCTGTCCATGTTCCTGAGTGGGTCCCATCACTGGGCATGACGGGAGCTTCTGCCCTGACTTCCGGCCAGGCATGCCTTTGGGAAAGGCACCTGGGCTCAGTGCTTACCTTCCCATCCAGCCCAGACTGCTTCTTGGAACATGGAAGCCTGCACCCTGGGTGGCCGGACCTGTGCCCATTGCTTCACGTGTGGCTGGCTTGTCCCAGTACTGAGTCCCCCTGTAGGGGCCCAGGGAGTGTCAAGAAGGCACTCGCTCTCGTCCTGTTGCTCACAGCTGGCGCTTCCTCCAGCAACTCTGCTTTTCTCTCGTGAATCCAGAATTCCAAGAGCAAACAGTTCAGAAAAGTTTGGAAAGGCCGAAGGATGCTCCCATCCAGATCTGGGAGGCAGGACAAAGCATATCCGATTACGAGGAGAAAGGGAGCCCATGAGAAGCTGGCACAGTGCTGTGTTGCAGAGGGGGTGGCTTGGGAGGGAGCAGCCAGAGGAGAGTCAGGAACTGTCTGGGCCAGAAGAGGGGACAGAGCAGGATGGGGCTCTAGCCATCAAGCCTGCAGGAGTAAATCCAGACCAGACCAGAGGGACAGCTGGGGTCAGCCAGCTCCTGTCTGAACCAACGCACTTGCCTGGTCTCGAGGGCAGAGTGACTCTGATGCAGGTCCTCGCAGGACTTGCGCCAGCCCGGAGCTCCTGAGCCACCTGCCCTCTGCCGGGGAGCCTGCAGGCCCTGGGTTCCCAGGCCGTCAGCAGCTGCTGGGCAGCGGAGTTGCTGTGGGTGCTAATTGCCTGTTTAGCGGGTGTGGCCTGCCCGCTTGGCTTCCCGGAAGGCTCCTCCCCGGCTGGAAGAGCCAGACCAGCAGCATCGCTGCCTCTGCGTCCTGCGGCCGCCGCATCTGTCAGGTCACACTTCTGCAGGGTGTGCCTTCCGGAGTCTGGGCCCTGCACACCAGGTACCACCTGGACCCTTTCCTGCGGGGCCTGGGGACCAGGGAGCCACCTTCTGAGAGGCGATGCAGGTGCCTGGTGTGCCCACCAGCGCCTGCTTGCCATCATTCGGCCGGCCAGAAGCACGCAGGCTGGTACCAGCTATGCCATTGATTCTGTGTTGCTGCTCCAGTTCCTTGACTTCCCTGTGTCCCGGTGAACTAACTGCCTGTGTGCAGGGCCTGAGCCCTCCTCTGTGTCTGTTTTGCGGGTGCTTAGAGCAAGGGGCAGATTCTGAGTGAAGTTAAGGGCAATGTGTCATTTATTGTTGTAAGGCTTTTTCGTTTGGTTCTTATTTATGTGTGTGTGTGTGTGTGTGGTCATCTCAGTCCACCAGGGGGCGGGGCTGGCTGGCATGTGGTGCTGGGGGATTGAACCGCGGTCACTCTGTTTTGCTAAGCTTGTTCTAAGTAGGTGCTTTAGACCACTGAGCCATCTCACCAGCCCCCTTTCGTTTGGTTCTTAGTTCTTGGTTTTTGGGGTCTTTCTTCCTTCCTTCCTTCCTTCCTTCCTTCCTTCCTTCCTTCCTTCCTTGGCAGAGCCTTGCAATATAATTCAGGTTGGCCTTGAGCTCACTACATAGCCCAGGCTAGACTTGAGTGCACGCCAATCCTCTTGCCTCAGCCTCCTGGCTACTGCAGTAAAATTTGGACTTAAACACTAGCCATGCTGTCTGAGCGCATCTCTTATGTAGCTTCACCCATTCCTCTCCTGTCGACGGGACTGGACCAGGCCACACTTTCTAAGACAGCCAACATCCTTGTGGTTTGGCTTGCATTTTGCCCGTCTATAAACGAAATTAGGCAATCACGTATCTACCTATAGCCCGCCCTCATTGCTTGGGTTGTCTATATTTGCAGATTCACCAACTTGCTAAAATTCACCAAAACCCGGCAGCGCCTCTGTGGTCACTGTATGCGCATGCGCAGAGCCGCGAAGAGCCCGCCTCCTGGCCGGCGTGTCCTGTCGGAGCAGGCCGGTCTCTGCTAGAAGACAGCTCTGCCTTCCCTTTCTGCCCTCGCGGTACAGCAGGCGTCCTCTCAGCAGCCTACTTCGTGTGACGTTTTTTTTGTTTTTGTGCTCTTTGTTGGCAGTTTCAGTACTGGCAGCGGTTCCCAAGCCGCGTGCGGCCGGCCGCGCAGCGCGCAGTCATTAAGCACCGGAGGGCCGGGACACGCGCTGGCTCAGCTTCCTCCAGACGTGCGCTGTGGGCTCAGTGTCAGTGAGCCACAGAGCACCTGCAGAGGGGTGCTAAGTACGGCGCCAAGGAAGCAAGCGCGTACGTCCCGGGTTCGGGTTCCGCGCTCATCAGCAGCGACGCTGCTGTCTGCAGAGGCCCGCAGGAGCCCAACCTCCCGCACGTTCTGCGGGGCGCGTTCGCCAGGCCGGAGTGCAGCGAGACTTTTATTTTTATTATTTTTATTTATTTATTTATTGTGGAACAGGGGATTGAACTCAGGCCCCTGCACTTGCCAGGAAAGCGCTTATTCCACTGAGCCATCTCCCCAGCCCCGGCACCGAGACTTTTAGGTCATGACTGCTGTGACTGCCAAGACGGGCTGTGTCTGCATCATTTCTCCTCCTCTGTTTCGCCCGCCCCGTTACTCCTCTTCTGTTTCACCCAAATCTTATTTAAAATGTTTTCATTTCATTCCCGCACAAATAGTTGTTTAAGAACTCTGTCCTCAATTCTATTCATTCGTGCAATTCTGAGGCCAGGAAGTGGCTAGTGCCGCCTCTGGGTCAGGCAAACCCAGAGATGCGCGTGCCCAAGTCCTTGCGGTCAGGAGTCCTTCAGCCCGGTCGTGCCAGGTCTCAGCAGAGAGAAGTGCTTCAGTGCGAGGCCTCTGGCTGCTCTCCGAGCTCCGGAGACGGGTCATCTAATGTTTGGTTTGGCTCCTGATAGTTAAACTACAGCGCTCCAAGGGCGAGTAATGGCACATTGATAAGCCCAAGACTTGTGATCAGACCAGAGGGTGCAAGGGAAGGCTGGAGGTGGGAGCCCAGTTCGCTTGACCTGTCTAGGAATCGGAGGCGTCTGCCCTTCAGTTCCTTTTTGAGCTGCTTCATTGTTCATCAACTTCCTGCTATCCTGGAGCATATAGGCATGGTCTAAGGAAGACGACGTCTCCAGTGTGAGTACAGGGTCTATATAGGTAGGCTTCTGGGTGGCCAGAACTGCGTGGCTACAGGAATGGTAACCAGAGCGTAATTAAGGGCCAGGGATTGAGGGCGGGGGTGGCTATACTATCAAAGTCAGAGAGAGAGAGAGAGAGAGAGAGAGAGAGAGAGAGAGAGAGAGAGAGAGAAACAGACAGACAGACGGAACCTCTGTCCATGGATGGGTTTGTCTAAATTTCAATATAGAGGGAAGGTGCATGCGTACGATCCTAGCACTCCGAGGCAGGAGGATCATAAGTGTGAGCCCAGCTTGGGTAAGTTAGTGACTTGGTGAGAACCCACCTCAAAATTGAACCCTAAAAGGGCCAGAGCTATATTTTGGTGTGAAGATCCTGAGTTCGATTGCCAGGTCCAGGTTTAAGGCCAAGCGAGACGCAAGAGGGCCCTGGAGGGCGGCGAGCAGCGGCTCGTTGCTTCTCGCTGCGCTCCCTTCCCTCCTGCTGGCGCCTTCGCCATGACACTGTGGGGCTGTGCCCACAAGCTGCAAGATAACAAAGGCAGAAACAGGGTTTTCTTTGCGAGTCCCTAAGGTCCTCAGGGACCTTGTTCTTCATGGCCTGGCCGAGTCCAGAGAGTAAAAGGCAGGCTGGAGAGGATCCAGGAATATGAGGAATGTTCTGGCTTTCTGGAGGAGCAGCCTGCTGATATTTGTAGCTCTTCTAAGAATTCTGATGTGAAAGGAAGCAGAGAAATGGGGCAAATGGCCGGGGAACTAAAAGTCACCATGCTAGGAGACAGGTGAGTAAATAGAAAGGGTGGGAAGAGTGGGAACATGGGGCATCCCGTGGGCACAGCTGGTGTCTAGAGAGAATGTGGCCCAGTGGTTGGTCTCCCTCCGCAGATGCTCAAGGGTGTTGAGGCAAGAGGGGAAGTGGTGTTCTCTGTGGCTGGCCGCAGACACGCAGCGTGTGGAGGCTGAGGGGAGGGGGCCGCACCACTTACTGGGAAAAGGAAGATCGCGGGAGTTGCCAGAAAACAGTTGCAAAAAGAGGAAGACTATTGCACACGTCCTTTTGTCTGTTGTTTTATTTCTTTAGGAATTGAGCTTTCTAATCTGGGTCCTCTACTCGAAGTCACTCTCAGCATATGCTGGAGATACTTAGGCTGCGTGGGGTGGCCAGGTGTTGCTCCACGCTTCCGATCATCTGTCCAGGGACCGCCTGGGCCCCAGAGGGGCCTCGAGGCAGCCTCCGCTTCCTGCTCCTGGCTTTATTTTATTTTTTTGCAGAGCCAGGGCTTAGAACTCAGGCCCTTGCCAGGCAAGCACTTATTCAACTGAGCTATCTCCCCAGCCCCCAATTTTTTTTTTCTGATGGAACCGGGGATTGAACTCAGGCCCTCGTGCTTGCCAGGCAAGTGTTCATGCTACTGAGCCATCTCCCAGCCCTGCTCCTGGCTTCAGCGAGGCCTTTGTTTCACTGCTGCCCTCGGGTTTTTTTTTAAATTTATAGTTTTATTACAGTAACACATAACTGTCACAGTGAGATCTACGCACATATATAGAATATTTAAATTTATATAGAACAGTATTTACAGTTTTATACTTTTGAAATGGAAAGTGAAGTACAGTTTC